CAAAGGCGAGTACAGTAGCAACTTACGACGACCAACACACATATTGATGAACCCTATGTTCAATTCAATATCGGTTTAATTAAATACAATTTGCAGACTGGAATTCTCTTAAATGATTTTACTACCGTTTCTTAGTTCATGTCTTCGCCACTGGGGGTGTTATTATACTGGACAAAGTCAAATGTTGTCATTTTAAATTTTGGTAATGGCTAAACAAAAAACACACATTTTCAAGGCAGGAACGTTGGCATTTGCAAAAAAACCCATTTAAAACCGAGTCCAGGGGACCAGGGCATACAGGCCTATTTTCTTTTCATGTTTTGAATAAGTTTCTCATATTTATATCATTTTTTAAATTTTATCTTTACATATTTAATCAGATATGCGATGAAAATTAAAAAAATGGCAAAACTTAATCAGATATGTGATGAAAAACCATCAGATTTTGTATATATGAGAAACATATTGTAATACCGTCAATAATATATCAGTTAAAATTCCGCTAAAATTATTACCAGTCAAAAACCCATCAAAAATTCTTTTTATTCATAATTTTGTTATCAATTTTTTTTTCGGCGGCATTTTTGATCATAATGTATATCAGAAACCTGCAGAATAGTAAATACGACAGTGTTCGTATTGATATAATATTCCGATAACCAAAAACCATCGAAATTTTATCATAAAATAAGTATTTTGCAATGGAATTTTTACATATTTTTCTGTAAAATTTTGCTTATTTTCTTATAGTGCAAGGGATTTAGAAGAAATAAGAAACATAAATAACACGAAAAAATAATTAATATAATTCACATAATTAATTTGAAAAAACAAAATTATTCATCATACTTTCTGAAGTTTTGTGATAATTTACTTGAGCGACAGAGAGATCACTAATACCATACACTATACAAGAACGTAAGTTCACCATCAATGTATTGGCTAACTCCATAGACAAGAAAATGAGACTGGTTTATATATGCGTAGATTATAAATAACATGAGTACCTTCATTAACTCTAATATGTTTTGGGCTTGCTCTTTAGACACAAATAAAAAGCTTAAGCTCATTACTTGGATCTTGTAACATGGATCTTGTAATAACATTATATAATTTTTGTTTTTTTGGAGGGATTAGTTTTTGAATAATAGAGGATTTCAATACTGCATTCTTGGCAAAACAACTATAGACGATTACAAGAAAAACTGGAATCCCTATTTGCAAAGGTATTTAAGGATCTTTATTTTCAGAACACTGAACCTTTAGAAACAGTCAAATCTTAATCCCCGTCATAAAGTGGAGGAGCATTGTCTTGGCTAGACTTTTAGTTAAAACAAGGCTAATCAAAAGAGTTGATTCAAAATGTTATATCTCCGTATAGAAAGATCTTTGGATACCATCTCATTACCTGAGATCAGCAATATGTGAAGGGCATAAATATTATCAAGGCCGTATGGATAGGGCCGGCCCAAAGTCAAATGATGCCTAAAGCGTACTTTAAAAATAATACCATTATTCGAAAAAAATAATGCCTTTAATCGGAAAAAAAAAAAATTTCTTTAATCGGAAAAAAGATGATGCCTTTAATCGTAATAAGAGGACAACCATTTTGTTTTTCTAAATCGATTTTTTAAAAAAAAAATACTTTTTTTTCTACATAAAATTAATTTTTTAAGCCTAAAATCGATTTTTTTTAAAAGGTTGAAATCGATTTTTTAAGTCTGAAATTGATTTTTTTTTTGAAAAATCAAGTCATAATGACTCTTATTTATAATGCAAATTTTCTTTTCCATATTTTTGACTTGTGCGATGTGGAACAAAGTTAAAACACACTTTTTTAAAAAACAATTGGGCTTTTTTTGATACTCTAAAAAATATTGATTTTTTTGGCTGTCCTAAAGCACTTGCTTCATGGACTTTAGGGCTGGGCCGGCCCTGTGTATGGGTAATCATTTGATTGACTCAGTAACATATATGTGGAATGTGCCATTTCTAAATACAATTTCCCCGGATGCCAATTAGTAGAAATTACAAACAAGATACTCTAGAATGACACTTTACAGAATCAGGTAGATATGTATATACAGTTATGTCAAGATATCATACTGAACATGAGCTTCCCTCAATGGGTCACAACATCCAATTTTATGGACCAGGTGTGAAAAAATTGCAAGCATATACATGGAAGGCCAAATATCTTCTAAAAAATACGTTATTTTATTTTATGTGGTAAGTCATATCAGGATGTCTTACAGTCTCAATAAATCTGCAGGGTAAAAGAATTTATTGCAATACACAATGTGCACGGTGTAGAATGGAAGAAAAAATATTAGTCATGTTATTTCTGAATGCCCTCCGACATTACAAACTTGAGCTATTTCTCCATTAGTACACATTTGGGAGTGTTTCCAATGTTATTGGTTTTTTTTGAATTTTAATTATCTATCCTGACATCTCTCAGAACGTAATCAGAATATACATTTTTCTTAGATCATGTGACATATCCGAAAAGTGAGGAATGATAATATCCACAAGAAGTTCTTCAGATTGCGGAAACTGAGGCAAAAGCATAAGAGGCAGCACAAATTATAGATCACAACATGGTGCCCTAAAATATGGATCCTCTTTTAGTAATCTTTGTTAATAAAGGGTGTTGGTGTTACGTAGGTGGCTCTTAGAAAGTCAATAATTTGTATGGGGTAGATTGGTATTGTTTTTAAGAAAACATAAATGGATTGCTAATGGGGGCATGAAATCTATTAAGAAGTATATTTCATCTACATGCATGTTGAATTACAAGCATTTATCTGGGCTATGAATTATACTATCACAAATCATTGCAATACACTACAAAAAAAAGCATGTATTGTATCACTTAAATTGTATCACAATTCTAATTGATATTAGTTTAAATTACTTATTTGTAAATGAAACAAATATACATAGTTTGGCATCATTTATAATAACTGATACTGTAATTAAATAATTTACATCAGTTATTTTTTATTGATACGATTTTACATCAGTTAATTTTAATTGATACAATTTATATTGGTTTGTATCAATTCAACAAAATTGATGGTAAATATTTTATTTACATCAATTAGATAATTGATACATTTATTTATTTTTATTAAAATCACTTATAAAAATAATACAAATTTTAAATCAGTTTCTAACTGATGCAAAAAATGAAGTGTTTAAACAACAGGTTCTATGGCTCTCAGTTTTAGAAGATACCTTTTCCACCTTTGGATTTCTGACAGGCTAATGAAACTGGGAGCTAATAGACCTCAGTTAGCCGCTACAAATTCCAAGGATTGATCACCAAAACTGGAGAAGCTGCTGGTTGAAAAAGGAAAAACTCGGATCTGGTTTTTTTTTTTTTTTCGGTTGATCGTCGTGTACTGTAAGTGTGCGTGAGGGCGCGTCCGACGTTGGGTCGACAAACGGTTTTCACCAGTAGATTCGTCTCGTCGAGGGCTTCGATTTGATATGTAGATTGTCTTCTGGTTTCTCACGGTTTGGAAGATATGCGTCTTTTAAGTTTCGACTTGCTTTTAGGGTTTTGGTGGTGGCCGGATTTATTAGGGTTTTTCGCTCAGAGAGTCTTATCGTGCTGATAACGTGTTGTGAAAACTTAGAAACTTTATTAATCACTGGAATGTATATATAGAGTACATAGGGAATCTAGGTTAAGTACAATGCCCTGATGGGCCCAGTGGCCGGTATAAGAGTCCATATGTGATATGTGTTATAACACAAACTCTATATATTTTAGAATATAGTGTTTGTTTCATAAATATAGATTACTCTGAATTGGTGAATATAGTATCTACTCCTAAGTGACATGTTTATTTATTTCTCTATCTTACTTATTCCGCGCATAAACAACACAAAGGCAAACATGTTAGTAAAGAATGCTCGTGACTATTTTACCGATATAGCTTATTTAAACTTTGTACCACTAGTTTGGGTATCTGAATCAATATTAGGTATATATTCCGTGAATTTTTTTTTTATAAAAAACCTGTTTTAGTAAAACATAAAAAAAACATAGTGGTCACTTATAAAACAATCTCCACACTGACTTGCGTCTTCCAAACACATGTACTAAATGCATTGTTTTTTTTTTTTTTGGATAACTGACCAAATGCATTGTTTTTGTTTATAACTGACGAAATGCATTGTTATATTGCCAGATGTACCAGACTCTCTTTTGCTTCAATTGTCTTTTTGTAGAGATTTCCTTTTACCATGGTGTTTTGGTTCTCAAACTTTTAATCCAAATTCACAGTAATTTATAATCTTTGACAACAACAAAAAACAGTATTTTATAATGAATTTTGAATAACCGAGATAATATATATAAGAACTCACGAAGCCCAATAATTTTTATTCAATTCCAGATATAATTATTCTTCTGACTTAAGACTTTGAAGAGCTTTTACCACATTTATTAGAATTTCAAAATCTTCAGAGTAGATTTGAAATTTTTGTCACGAGGATTTTGTTTTAATATATAACATTTTATGGTTTGAATAGTGGAGGGCAGTTGAAACCATTAAAAAAAACATAATATTATACGGTATTACAGTTAAGTACACGAAAGTTATATTACACGCTAATTATAAAATGACTATTGACCTACACTTATTAGATGTGAAAAGTAAACTTGCAAATTGTCATTTAGAAGTTTTTTTTGTATTTTTTTGAACAAGAAGTAGTTTGATCACTCTGCAATAATCTAAGAAACAAATCCATATAGATTATTGTCAGAATCGATGATGTAGTTTATTATTGATGGTGATAGCAAGAGTTCGGAAAACGTGCGATTCAATTATCGATGGATAGTGTCACAGCGAATTGACTTGCGATTTTGAAACGTCGACGATAGAATTACAAAAAAGGATTGACAACCTAATTATTAAAAAAAAACGGTAAACAAAAAAAAAAATCAGTTTCGTCCATTTTCTTTATAATCACCAATCCCACGTACCATTATGTAACCCAATCAAACAAAAAGAAGTCAGATCAAGAACGTGTCACCACACAAATGGCGCTTACAAAGAAGACAGATCAAGAACCTTCTCATGATTTCATTTTCCGATCCATACTTCCCGATATCTCCATTCCCAATCACCTTCCTCTCACTGATTACGTCTTTCAGAGATTCTCGGGCAACCGCGACGGCGACTCTACCGCAACTTGTCTCATCGACAGTGCCACCGGACGTGTTTTTACCTACGCCGATGTACAAATCAATTCACGGCGGATCGCCGCCGGAATCCACCGTCTTGGGATCTGCCACCGTGACACGGTGATGCTCCTTCTCCCGAACTCGCCTGAGTTTGCTCTCTCCTTCCTCGCTGTCGCTTACCTCGGAGCCGTTTCCACCGCCGCGAATCCGTTCTACACAGAGGCTGAGATCTCAAAACAGGCAAAAGCCTCCGCCGCGAAGATGATCATTACGAAGCGATGTTACGTCGATAAACTAACAAACCTTGAAAACGTTTCGATCGTTACCGTAGATGACGGAGACGACGCCGTTTCGTTACCTGACGGTTGCGTGAGCTTCACGGAACTAACTCAGGCGGACGAAACAGAGCTTCCTAAACCGGAGATCTTGCCGGAGGACACGGTGGCGATTCCTTACTCCTCGGGGACCACGGGGCTTCCAAAGGGAGTCATGATTACTCACAAAGGTTTAGTTACGAGTATTGCTCAGAAAGTTGACGGAGAAAACCCTAATCTCAACTTCACCGGAGATGACGTCATCATCTGTTTTCTCCCAATGTTTCACACTTACGCGTTTAACTCGTTAATTATGTCGGCGATGAGGACCGGTGCGGCGATCTTGATCGTGGCAAGGTTCGAGTTAAATCTGGTGATGGAGCTGATTCAGAAGTACAAAGTCACGGTGGTTCCCGTGGCTCCTCCGGTGCTTTTAGCGTTTGCTAAGTCCCCCGAAACTGAGAGATATGATTTAAGTTCCGTGAGGATGATGATTTCAGCAGCGGCGACGCTCAGGAAGGAGCTTGAAGACACCGTGCGACTCAAGTTTCCCAATGCTATATTAGCTCAGGTTAGTTTTAATGAGTTTCTTCATTTGTACAATTATTTTCTTATTTCTTCATAAGTTGTAGTGCAATCGGACAAAGGGACTCTAGGCTAAAATCCTCAAAATCCGAGAAATATGACTATTGATTTTGACTTATAATTGATTCGTGGGTCAGTGATTTACTAGAGAATGGAGTGGACAGTTAGAAATGAATTGGTTAGATTAGGTGCATATGATTCATGTGGTACTTGGGAGTTAGCGTGTGCATTTGTCGTCACCGTAATTTTTTTTTTTTTTTTTTGGCTAAATTTTTATAGTTATGGAAGCAAGACTGGGTATTACCAAATCTTTGTGACAGTTGGTGAAAATTTGCCACCATGTGCAATTGACTTTTAATCAAATAATGGAGTTATTTGTTTTTTTATGCATAGATAGATAAACGATGTCAAAAAAAAGAAGCATAGATATATAAACTAACAATGATTGTCGTTGGTGAGGATTTTATCATACTTTCTCAAATATTTAGCCACTCCTTCACATCCTAAATCCACTCTCATTTACTTAGTCATTTTATGGCAACCTTATCATGATTTCTGATTGTGTTGGTGTACACGCTCTATATAAAGATATTGATTTGCTGTGATTTGTTTCACGCTCTTTTTAAAATGGATTCACCTAAATTTTGTCTTTTGTGTTTACTATACATAAATGCCATCAATTTTAAACCACAATATTGACTCATCATGTGAAACGTGTTACTAAATCGGATCTTCTAGTCGACAGAATTTTCAATTCAAGATATATAAAACAAACAATACTATACTTTTATTTTAGTAAATATTGGTATAAAATATAGATACAATAATATTATTTTATAACATAAGCGACGCTACATATTTTCATATTGGTTTTCTGAAATATGACTATATTGCCTTTATATAATGAATTAACTCATTTCAATTAATTAAGAAGATTCTTATATACTCCATCTGTTCCTTAATGTAAAATATTTTTTGCATTTTTTTGTTTCATTTTATTTTATTTGATTTTTTTTGGAAATTTTTCTGTGAAAAAATAATATTTGATAGTGTGTGACCACTTGTATGATTGTCGTATCTTTCTTATGGGTTGATTTATATTTTTTTAATTAGGTTAAATATTTTTTTTTCTTTTGAGACATTGCGTCCTCTAATGGCATTCTCCTAGAAAATGAACAATCATGTAGAAGTCCAGAAAATACAATAGAATGATGTTTTCTGAGAACTCTCTGAGACTCTGACGTTCAGGTTAGTAAGATATAAGAAAGGATTACATTTGATACTTAAGAAACTAGGAAAAAAATTGAAAACAGAGAGGAAATTAATAGCTAAGTGGCTCCAGGCTCAAAGAAAATGATGATTCCGTGGAGTATATCTATAAGGGACTTTAGCCTGAGATAGAAGAAATGATTCAAATGGAAGAATGAGATTGCCATAAGATGACTAAAGTAAATGAGAGTAGGTCTAGGAAGTGAAGGAGTGGCGAAATGTTTGACAAAGTATGAGAGAATGACACAAAAGTTTATAATAACTTAAAAATTATATAGAGAAAAATCTGATTCCCTTTTTTTGTGTCGAAAAGGGTGTATATATAGTAATACCTATCCCAGGTTAGGATACCAGGTCACGTGTCTAGTTGTCGGGTTTGGTCTTGGATCATCCTTCCCGGATCCTGTATGGGTGGGTTACACAAGTATTTTTTCACCTACTTTATTCGTATTTGCTAGCTGGTGAACAACGTTATCCGAGGTGCTGGGCTGATGTGGAGTTTAAACTTGTCTAGGAAGATTCGGTGTTGGCTTGTTGTCATAACGTGCTAAACTTTTGTTTTCCCATGAGCATAGACTATAGTGGTTGCTTTCTCCTAACAAATGTTGAAGATAACAAATTATGGGCTTCTTTTGATCTTAGAACAAGGTTACAAACCAATATAAATGTCTAAATGGAGAGTCTTATATTCCATAAAAAAAAATATACGTACATCTTTAGGGAGAGCGTAAGTAACCTTGCTTGATTCTCGTTTTAAATGGGTACCAGACCGTCTACTTACCTCAGTTACCTGCCTAGTTGCCTAAGTGGTCCAGTTGTCTAATCGTCTAACTGTCCATATTAGACCGCTCATCCCCTTATACTACTATTTCCCAATAACATGTCACAAGTCAGTAGTGGGTTCATAAAATGTAGCTTTGTCCGTTCTGCTTCTTGACCACTCATCCCTCTAATTCCACCATCTCTTACATGATATGAATTGGTAAGATTCAGAAAGTGTGGCCTTATTTAACTTTTCTGGCTTTTCCAAGTATATAACCACTCACGTCCCTAATGAGATTCACCAATGGAGGAGAAAAAAAATATAGAATTCTTAACTTTTTATTAATTAAAAAATTATTAATTAAAAATTGTTAAGAATTCCATGAGGAGTTCAGAGATGAAGATGTTCTAATAGTATTTTTTCCAAATACCTGACATAAATAGTGAATTTTGGGACAAGTAACATTCATCATTCTATTTACATGTGGTGTTATAAGATTCACGTAATCCTAAAAAATTATATAAGATAAAAATGAGAAAAAATGAAATTTAGGTATTTTTAAAAGTTCATACTTTTAGATTATTTTTCTATCGCACCATTTATTTATTAATTTTTTTGTACCTTTTGTTTGGGCAAATTGTAATCGGTTCTAATTGAGACAAGACATTTTTACGGAATGACTGAAAAATATATCTTTATTTACCAACGAATTTCTGTTCATAACCGCTCGAAATTACAACAAATTGATATCAAAAACCAATCAAAGAAGACTTCGTAGGTCGTTGGTTATTGTTCATAGGGCATTGGTTATTTATGTCGGTCTTTTGTAGTTAGTCGGAGGTTTTGTGTCATCTTTAGCAGGTTATTATATCAATGGTTGGCGGTAGATCTAGCTCTTGGATAGATCTAGCCACTTGTATGTAGTAGCTAGCTAGATTCATAGTCGTGAGCTTCTTTGATATATATCTTTGGTAGGTTCCTTTGTCTATTTTTCTATAAGTTATTTTGATACTTTTCTTTGATAGTTTCTTTGATAGACTTCTTTTCTAAGATTCCTTTGATAAGTTCCATCGCAGGTTCCTTCATGGTTCCTTCGTTGACGATGGTCAAGGGCCTCTACATGTTAGTTCCTAGTTTAAATATTCTTTTAAAGTAAAAAAAAAAAAGGATTTTCCTAAATGATTTCGCTGCCTTTTCTCATCAGTTCATGTCTATGGTGGATAGTGACATATGTTGTCGGTTTTATATTTTTGTGTTTTGGTAATGACTAGATACAACACATTTTCAGTGTTATGGAATGACTGAGGCAGGAACAGTGGCGAAGTCATTGGCATTTGCAAAGAAATCACTTAAGACCAAATCTGGTTCGTGCGGTACTGTGATCAGAAACGCTGAGATGAAAGTTGTCGATACCATTACCGGAGTCTCCTTACCCCGCAATAAATCTGGCGAAATCTGCATCCGGGGCGATCAACTCATGAAGGGTAAAACAGTTCAATGATCACGATGTGTCCGTTTATCTAATCTTTGGAATTATACTTTGATAGAAAAGAAATGATGTGATCTTGTTAGGTTATTTGAATGATCCGGAGGCTACTGCGCAAACCATAGATAAAGACGGGTGGTTACACACGGGAGACATTGGGTTTGTGGATGATGACGATGAGATCTTCATTGTTGATCGTTTGAAGGAACTGATCAAATTCAAAGGCTATCAAGTGGCTCCAGCTGAGCTTGAAGCATTGCTTATTTCTCATCCTAATATCGAGGATGCTGCAGTTGTCGCGTGAGTTTAAAAGAAAATCTAAACACTTCTAAGTCGAAACTCTAATGTTAGTATCTGCTAATGAAATCCAAATTTTCAGAATGAAGGATGAAGTAGCTGATGAGGTCCCCGTAACGTTTGTAGTTAGATCGAAAGGGTCTCAGCTAACCGAAGATGAGGTCAAGAGTTATGTCAACAAAAAGGTAAGATTTTGTGATTTCACCATCGGTTTTCAACATGGGAAACATGCATGACGGAAACTTTAGATAAATTAAATCACCCGTGTTATAATATAGGTGGTTCACTACAAGCGAATCAAGATGGTGTTTTTCACTGACTCCATTCCTAAAGCTCCATCGGGGAAGATATTGAGGAAGAATCTTAGAGCAAGACTTGCAAATGGATTGATGAACTAAGTTAAAATGATCAAAATGCGTACATACACATTCTTGTAATCTTATCAGAAGCACAAACAAAATGTTTGTTGATGAACAAAGGAAAAAAAAACTTACAGGACGATGTTGCGTTCTTGATGGTGAATAATAATGGTTGTTTTTTTCTTCGTTAAAGTTGTTTAGAAGGAAAAGAAATATATTAGAAGAAATATGAATAAATGGCATTAGGCATCAAGGAATGTTATGAAACATAAATTGTATAACAGTCTGTCAACCAAAGAAATCGTTAACTATTGTTATCTAATTAATATCACTACACTAGATCAATCTCATCCCAGAATATTAAATCTCTATGTTTAGATCTATGATTAGAGATAACTACTAACTCCTGTTGAATTCAACAACCTAAGCGGGCATTGTGATCTAGTTTCATAAGTTCACAAAACATATATAACATCACCTCTCATTGGTTAAAAGTGTTTTGCTCATCTATTTTCTATTTTCAATCAAACACTTTCGGTTTGTTAAACAACCTCAGATCAGAAACTATGTCGCAAGTCATGCTTAGAAATATGATCAATAAATGTTAAAGAAAATCGTAAATAGTTCACTGTATAGCAATTCATGAATTCTCTTAAAATCCCTAAAACCTATGAGTCATATACTCACACATATATAATTGCAGAGAATGAATGGATATAACTTATAATAGCTACATATATAAATTGCAAATAAATATATAAGAGTGTTTATAAATCTTCTACAACTTTTTCAAAAGAGTTTAAATATCTTCTCCGCAAAGAAATATATGCACAAGTTTGTAGAAGAAAAAGTTTGGAATAGAAAGTGGCTAAAATAAGTATATATAGGTCTAGAGTCGGATTTAGTTGAGTTAGAATGATTATGGCGCAAAATAAGAAGTTTATAATTCCATACTTTGTTATGGGAAAGATCAATCGATCTTGATTGGGGATCAATTGATCTTATTAACTACTTGAAATTTTCTACACGTCTGATGAATCTGGATCAATCGACCTATGAGTTGGTCTATCGACCTATATATGAGTGGATCTATCAATCTATGAGTGGATCGATAATTCTATATTGAACATTGAAGATCAAGAGAAATCAATACAGAACATTCTCTTACCTTGTTATTAGATGGTAGAGCCGTTTGGTCTTGACAAGCTCAACTATGTAATGAAGATGATGCGGTTGAGAGGAGCATCATGAGAACTGGCATAACTTTTAAGCCGCATGTCCAAATTTAAACAATTTACAGATGAAAGCTAACTCAGATGGCTATATTAATTGTCACCAACTTTTTGCTTAATACATCCACAGAATAACCTTCAACTAATGCCAAACTTTGAATGCTTTTACGTTGTCCTACTGAATCCAAACTTTCAATGCTTTTACATTGTCTTTCTAAAAGACTATAAACACTACACATACAGTAGAAATACATTTTAGGTCATAGAACCTTAAAGTTAAAGATGACTATATCTTTAAACCGTATAGAAAATCATGTAAAACTTATGTATATTAACTCGCTAAGCTTAGATCTTTGCTTGTAGACTCTTTTCCTTTCAGTTTTTTGATGACCAAGAGTCCAAGATTGTCTTTCACCTCCCATTTTTTACAGCATCGCCAGAGCTGCCGAATGTTTGCTTGAGTGATGTATCGATGAATCTAAGCTTTTGTTTGATGCGAAGCGAATTTATCATCAGTTTGAACCATCATTCATAGGGCATTCGGGTCGGCGGTTCGGGTTCGGGTCGGTTCCTCTGGTTTCGGGTATCCGAAACGATGATTGTTTAATAACCGAATAAGAACCGAATAAATTTCGGTTCGGTTCGGATCGGTAATATACGGTTTCGGTTTGGTTTTCCCGAGGTAGATCCGAATATACATACGATTTCAGGTAATTTTGTACCCGAATAACCAAAGAAAATCAATGAAAATGAGTTCAAATTGAATTTCGGTTGTTTAAAAACCCGAATAACCCGAAAAAACCAATCAAACACGAAAAACCCGAAATAAACCAACAAAATCTAAATTCCAAATATCCATTTGAACAAAGCGTGCAAAATAAAAAGAAGTTATGACAAAGTTGTGCACAATATCGAGAATACATGTTCTCCAAGTTGAACTTCCATATCAGTTCCAACCATAAATCCAAAAAAACTAATGACAAAAGACATAGAAGATAAGATTGAAAAACATTACTTGCTGAATCCCAAAAACTATCTCATCCAGCCTTCCTTACAAAGTTGCTATCTCTATCTCCAACTCCAATCTTCTTATCTTGCCTGTATACAACAATGATCAAAGGAAAACAAGTAAACAACAATGACAAAGACAAAAACGCTTTTCCAAAACTCATCATTAAACCATTATAGCCTCATCGTAAAACAAAAACAAGCAAACATACATAACATTACCAGCATAACCAATTCAGCCTCATCACTAAACCATTCAAAAACCGATTATTACCAAACTTCAGTTAAGCATAACATTACCTTATCACGTCAGTCTTCATCTTCAGGTTCAAACAAGTCTGGAGACTTTAAGTTATCCATTTCGGAGAAGTGAAAAAGATGGATAACATTAAAACTCATCACATTTTTCAGATGAGATTTTAAAGAGAAGAAACATACGTCTTTGAAGTTTATCCTGCAACTCAATATCAGCAAGCAGCTCTTCTTTAGTGATCACACCTCTATCACTTAGACGAATCTCACACTTCAGCCATTGCTCAGTGCACATTAGCACTTCAATCATGTAATGGGTTAAACAACTTCGAAATGGGTCTAAGATTCGATCACTTGTGCTAAAAGCAGACTCTGAAGCAACAGAGGACACCTGCATTGCAAGCACATCTCTTGCCATCTCGGATAAAACCGGAAATTTGCAGCTGTTCAACTTCCACCATCCCAAAACATCATAATCTGTACCGAATTTTTTTTTTTTGGAGTTTCACATTTCTCCTTCAAGTATATATCCAACTCCGTACCTGAATCTTCAGTTCCTAACTCATCTACCATCTCTTTGTAGACAAAATCCATTCTCTCATATCCACTTTCAAAATCTAAATCCATTTTGTCAAAGACATTACCTGTAGCATGATCTTGACTCGAAGTACCACTCTGAGACTCATTTCCTGCGGATTTAGATGATGTCTCACCTCCAGATAACTTGTTGCTATACTCCTCAAATAATTTCTTCATAACCGTAGTCACAGAATCCACCAACTCCCTTGATTGAGGACTATCTTTCCCATAAATCCTGTCAAAGCAGAGAGTAGCAAACCTCATTTTGTTGCTTGGATCTAAGATACTCGCAATGATTAGAAGCCTATTGATTTCTGGCCCATCCCAGTACTTCTCAAACTTCTTTCTCATTGCATCGGCCTTTGACCTCATTGTTGAGTCCTGATCTTTGCTCAGCTTGATCAAGTTGGTTTCGATGGTCACAATCTCATTGTAACACTTGTGAGAATTCAGTGAAGTAGATGCTGAAACAACTAAAGTAGAGTTGTAAAAGATAATCAAAAACCTTACTAGTCTTGCAACCGAATCCCAATCATCCTTTGTTGGTGGGCCAACTCTCTTATTTCCTTCCACTTGTTCTTGAAAGTAAGCATTGTAGAGCATATCTTCTGCTTCCATTCGATCAAAACCTGTCCTAAAGTTCAGAGCCCTTGACAGCATAAGGTAAGTAGAGTTCCACCGTGTTTTACAGTCTAAGGGTAAACTGCCTCTTGTCATTTTTGCTGATTCCACTCTTAGATCAAATGCTTTGATTCGGTTAGTAGAAGCTCTCACATACTGAACTCCATTACGGATTGCAGATACATTTTTGTTAACTTCATGTAACCCACCGTTTACTATCAGGTTGATGATGTGAGCAGCACATCGTAAATGCATGTGGTCACCTTCTAGAACCAATGCGTGATCACCTGTTCCAAGGAAAGCCTCCTTAAACTTCCTCAAGGCACTCGTGTTGGCAGTGGCATTATCGACAGTGATTGTGAAGACCTTCTCTATCCCCCAATCAGCCAAGCACTCTACCAAAACTCTAAAAATTGTAGTCCCTTTGTGATCGTCGATGTTTTTAAACCCTATGATCAGTTTCCTTAGCTGCCATTTCACATCAATGAAGTGAGCTGTGATGACCATATAGCTAGCTCCGGTTGTTGGAGCAACCCAAATGTCAGTGGTCAAAGACACTCTTTGCTTGTTTTCATCAAGCACCTTTCTCATTGCAGCTTTCTTCTTAACATACATCTCCACGATTTCTCTAGTGACTGTTCTCCTTGACTTTGGCTGTGGAAGACCCACACAATTGCAGAAATGTCTCCAAGCCAGACTTTCAATAAATGAAAGTGGCAATTCAGCCAACACAATCATCTCATTCGATGCTTCTCTAACCACTGCTTCTGAAACCTTCGACAACTGCAGAGTACCACTTGCATCTTCAGAAACTATAATATTCTGCCTGTCTTTTTTTGTTTCCTGCCACGCAATATGCTCCTTGCAAATTCACAGATGATTCTTCAAGCTTGAAGTTCCACTCTTACTGTTGCAGGACATCGACTTACCACAATAATGACAGACGCAGGTGTTGACATCCTCCTTAGTTCGTGTGAAGTGTTTCCACACATCAGACCTTGTGTTACAGATTTTTAATTTCTTTTTCGGCTTGAACGGAGGTGAGCTAGTTTCACTCCTTGGATTCTCTTTGCTTCTCGGTGTAGGAGAAGTTCCATGCTCATCTTCAGAAATGGGATCCTTTGTTGGTGACGAAGAACCCATCTGCACCAAACATTAGAGAACTTGTTAAGCTTTTGAAGAAGAAGAACATCTGAAGAAATCCAAATCCAACTAAATACAAATCGTAAAATTGAAGAGAAAAAAATCAAGACAGGAGAATCAGAGAAGGAAGACTTACCTGGGAATCAACTCTCGACGACAATGAAGGAGGAGAATGGTGGTGAATTTGATCGAGAAATGGAATTAGGGTATCCAGTTTTCCCGATTTGGGATTTATTAGAAGGGGGAAAAAAATAGAGAGATGAAATCGAATGTTTTTTTTTTGTAATGTTGGTATATGAATTTCATTTTTTAGGTAGGAGAATTATGCAATTAATTCAGGGAGTTATTTC